GGGGGCCCCGAAGTGGGTTTCGGGCCGCCACCCGCGCTGGCACCGGGTTCAGAGGGCGCCGCGCCGCGGACTCTGCGCCCGGGCACCGCACCGGGCCGCCTCCGGATCTGCCATTCTGCCCTGGCCCGGAAAGCCCGGCGCCTTCCAGGCCCTTCGAAAGATGGATTCTGTTGACGTATCTGGCGGCCCTGGCGAGCCGGGTGGAAAGTTGGGTTTTGCCAAATTGAGCTGGGCTCCTCTTTGTGACGCTCAGCCAGCCCCGCATCTCCCTGGAGCCGGGTGAGTGTGCGTCGGCGCCCGAGAGCCCTGGTGCCCCCCAATGCCCAGACCCGGGGTGGCCGCACCAGCTCGGGCTTTCTGCCATGTTAGGCACCGTGCAGTGTTCTCGCTGCATTTTTTGCGTGCGTTTCAGTGGCGCCTTTTGCCGCGGAGGGAGTTATTGCCATCTCTCTGCGTTGGCTTTTTCGGGGTTGGGGTTGTGCTCTCTGTGCTTGCTTGTTTGCTGTTTAAAGCCCGACTATTGTTCAGTATAAGCCCCGCCTGGGTGGGGAAATGGCATCCCACCACAGTTGTTGGCGAGGGGTAGAAATGTTGCCAAACAGCTGCTGCTTTGTGTTTCCCTATCAGAAGTCCCTGGAGTAGATTTGGGGCACGACGGATGGATGGGGAGAGGACTGAGGCACGAAGAAAGAAGGTGGCTTTGGAGGAGCAGATTGTCACCCAGCCTGGGGCACGATGTCAGCCTCTTTTTCTGCCCACCAAACTTTTATGAATATTCCTTTTGTGGCAGCGGGAAGCTTAATGAATTTAGCCCATTTTTCCGAGGAACAGCAGCCCAGCTTTAACAATGGTTTGGGAACTTAATCAATGAGAAAGGCAGGGGAGGAGGAGGAGGAGGAGGCGCTGACACCATATGGGGATGTGGCTGCCTCTTGCAGAGTCAGGTAGAGGAGAGGTGGGCAGGGCTCAGCGCCCGAGGGCCCTCGTTCCCGGAACTGTTGGTAGCTTTAACCTGTGCCCACTGGTGCCACCCATCCTCACGCCCCCACCTTCTGGGCTGCCCACAACCTGGCAAAGCGGCTTGAGAGGCAGCTTGCGGCAGCGATCAGGCCAGCCCCCCTCATCTGGCGTTTTGAAGGATGTGTAAATATTTTGCTGAGGATAAGTGACATCAACAGAATGATATTCCGCAGAGCCCGGGTGTGCAGCGATGATAAATAGATATGGCCAAACAAAGTTTTGATAACCGCATATTCTCATGGCTCGGTGTTTCATCTGGGTCTTTGTTTTTGTTGGTTTAGCATTATCTCGCATCCTCTGGTGTGATCCCTTTATTTAGCCCATTCTTGGAAGCTTCTCTTTAGAACAGAGAGAAAAGCAGCCAGTAGGGAGAAAACAATTCTGAGCCTCGCATACATCAGGCAAGGTTTTCTGTGCTTTTCCCAGGGACTTTTTCCCACCGTTTTCTCGTAGTCTGTTCTTCCTTTTGAGTTATCAGAATTGTTTATTGGTGGACCAAAGGACTTTAGCTAACTTTAAGAACGTAGGATGGCGGTGCCTTTGTTACAGTTGGGGGGAGTGGCTCTGTGGGAGGGGGACAGTAGGGAGGCCTGGTCTGGGGAGCCCTTTCTCCGTACCACACAGGGCGCCCTCTCCCTGCTTTCCCAGTCCAAGGACAGTATGAGGAATAGAGCTATTTGTAGAATCCAGGGGTGGGCTGCGAGGCTGTTAAGTCTGTTGGCAAATTGGTTTCTTTGCCACTTAGAAACCCAAAGAGACACCTCCCCCAGCCCAGACACCTCCACACCCCACACATACCCACAATATCCATCAAATGGGCACTTGCTTCTGATCCTAACAGATACCCACTAGTGCCATGCCTAAGGTGGCCCCGGAACTTTGAGTTAGGTCAGACTGGAACTTGGGGGACTGGCTATTTTGGTACCAGTCCAGGGGACCATTCAGCCACCCAGGCAGTTCCTTTATTACTTCAAAGAAGCCCAGTGTTTAGGTCTGGCCCTGGAAAATCTTCTCATCTCTGGGACAAATGAGAAGACAATTCTCCAGGTGAAGCCACTTTTCCATGTGTCATGAGAATTTGGTGGACAATTGGGCAAGAACTGTAAAATAGATTGGAAAATCGTACATTCAGACAACAGAGCCACTGAAATGGGGTCATCTGAGTAACAAGAAAGAAAAAAGCCAAGGCTGAGAGGTGTGTGACCAGGCAATGCTGGGAAGGCTCTACTGCCAGCAGCCAACTGTACTAATCCAGAATGGAGATCTTCCGTGCATCGTCGGCACTAAGCCCGCAGCAACAAAAACCAAAACCAAAGGGGGAAAAAACCCACCAAGTGTTCTCTGGCTGCTAACCTTAGATTTGGGGAGAGAAGGAAAGTGGAGGGAAACAAATTGGAAAGGGAGCTAGCATTTATTGTTGTCCTCTGTCTGCCAGGCGTTTCACATGTGGGAAACCTCCTCAGTTTCTGTGACCCTTCTGTAGCATTATTTTACAGATAATGCTCAGAGAAATTTCCAGTCACAAGCCTGATTCCAGACTGGTGGTTATGATTTAAAGGGGCAATATGTCCCTCTTTCCCTGCTCAAACTCTCTTATTTATTTCTCCCAAAGGCCAGAATTCTCAGCCCATCCCCCTTTATAAAATATGGCACCTAATTGGTGTGTGTGTGTGTGTGTGTGTGTGTGTGTGTGTGTGTGTGTGTTGGGGGCAGAAGCCTACCAGTGAGGCAGCCCAGTTGCCTATGACCCACACTTATGTGCCAAGTAGATAAATCCAAGATCATCCCTGCCTGTTGGGGATTGAAAGAGCGGATGCTGCCTTTTTATCTCAGAGTCGCCATCATGCCACTGATGCTAGGTAAATGAGAGTGGAGTGACCAAATGATGGAGCTGCTGAAGTGAATGGCGGTGGGAGGGAGCCGTGAATCATTGTCAAGGGAGACCCAGCATGGAGAAATCCGAGGGAGGGTTGTATGTTTGAGGCGGACTCAGAATCTCTGGTGCCCTGCTCACGTCTGAGCCTCAGCAGTTCCATGCTGACAAGCCCTGAATTAATCCTTACAACACCCATGTGAGATGGCAGTATTGACTGTATTTTGTAGATGAAGAAACTGAGGTCCAGACAGGTTACATGAGTAGCCCAAGGTCCATGGTGGGGCAAAAGGCTTGATGAGGTATTTTTGACTTGTTACTGTTTCAAATGAGCAAACAGTAACTAAAAACTGGTATTTTCTGTGCAAGTATAGCATTAAACCAAGTCCCTTAGCCTCCTTCCAACCAGATGGTAGCCTTTAAACCCCTGGAAATTCTGGAGCCATTAGAAGAACCAGGGTTTAAATCTATATATGAAGGGCTTCTGATTTTGTAGCTTCTCTGATCAGAATATGAGGGGAACCTCAGAGAATGAAATTTTCTGGGAGGGGGAAAGATGGAGAATTATATTTTTCTCATGTACAAAAGCCTGTGTGGGGTTCTGAATTAAGCTTGATTTGGGGATCAGGGTGGCTTCCTTGTTGTAGAGTTGGCAGCTCTTGTTTTTGGAGAATGCCTCTGATTACCACTTCTCTCACCCACCTGATCATCTGCCCTGGTGCCATCATCTTGTTCCTTCCGAGCTCAAGCCCTCTCCCTTGCAGCTCAGTGTTTGATGAGCCTCTTGAGTCTCCTGCTCCCCTGTGCTCCGATGGCAGCTGGGGAGGAGGGGATTTTGGCGGCCACATGAGCACTTCTGGATTTCACACATGACCCTCCTTCTCCCTTCTAGCCAAGGACACACACAAACACACATGCATGCGTAAACACAGGCGCATGTAATTTGATCATGTTTCTGTATCTGCTTCGCCAAATTAGATTGTAAACCCAGGAATTGTTGTTGAGAGAAGAATGTGACTTTGGTGATCTTCTGTCCAAGCCCCTGCCCTGAACAAACCAGAAAAGCTGAGATGCAGATGGCTCAACCAGCAGAGGCTGGAGCAGTGGCCATACTTGCTGACTTTGCCATGGCTGTGAGGCACACTCCATCAATGTAGGCATGGTCTGGTTTAGTCCAGGTGGGCTTCTTTCACAAAATACATATACTAGGTGTCTATAAACAGTGGAAGTTTGTTTCATGTAATTCCAGAGGCTAGAAAGCCCAAGGTCAAAGTGCCAACATCTCACTGTCTAGTGAGGGCCTGCTTCCTGGTTCATAAATGACAGTTTCTCATTATGTCTTTGCATGGCAGAAGAGGCAAGCAAGTTTTCTGGGATCTTTTTCATAAGGTCACTACTATCATTGATAAGAGTTCAATTCTTATGATCTAATCATCTCCCAAATAGTATTAACACCTACCTTGGAGATGAAGGTTTCCACATAAGAATATGGGGGTTACAGGAGCATTCAGATCATGTATAGTTTCAGGACCTTTTGTAAAAGGCAGTTTTAATCTCTACTTAGAGGGAGGGCTAGGCTCCCAGAACTCCCAAACCTGATTGTTCCCATTTATGCTAGTAGTAAGTCAATAATTGTAGAGAATCTTGAAGCACATGCTTCTCACACCTGTCATCTCCCTTTCTATGGCTTTTTGGTCTTTTATCCCAGTACCATCTAACAGAAAGTCCTATGTCCAAACCCACACTGTCCTATGGTGTAATTACTA